TTTACTAGTGGAATTTTAGTGAAAACATGAAGAGAGCTTTATCTCTATTTCCCTTCCGTGGCCTTGGAAAAAATATTTAAATAAATAAATCTTTTTTTTAGATTAAATAATTTAACCACATGACTGATAAGAGAGTCATACAAAGTGATTTGATGAAATAAGTTTGACTTAGCGATGAAAAACATCATATAGAGATTGGGATTGGGAGCTTATAAAATTTTTTTTTTTCATATAATCTAATTTTTAAGTTCAATTGGGTATTCTTACACCTTAAAAGTTAATTAATCATGTTTCAAAACATTCATAATATTTTTTTTTAGGTAAACTATATCTTTTTAAAGAAAGTGTTACCCTTCAGTAACAGGGCTAACATGGTGTTGAACCGGTTAAAACTGGTTTGATTCTGACACGATTTTGTGTTTACAAAGTAAAATCTCTGTGGTAATTATACAAAGCCAAGTCGTATTAAACTTTTGATTGGCAAAATCACACATTGTATAGCTACTGTCTAATAATATCCTAGGTCCTACAGCTTCCTTATGCCTCCACTCACCTGTTACCGAAGTTGCTCTTCCAAAAGTCGGCCGCATCCGCCTTGGTGATCCGGAACTGATCCCCGGCAAAGACCCCGTTGGGGAAGATGGCCTTCAGTTCGCTGAGCATGTGGGAGAAGACCAGGCTGAGCTTGGTGAGATTCCGGCGGTAGTGGGAGTTCTCATCGAACATCTTCTCCTTGCCCTCCTTGAAGAGCTTGATGGCCTGCTTGCACTTTCGCATCAGGTTGTTGATGAACACGTTGAAGTGCTCGTTGGCATGGAGCAGGTGCATCTGGTCCTCGTTCTTCGAGTAGATCAATCTCAGTCGCTGATACGTATCCGGCAGGATGTCCAATATGAACGGTGGACTGTTCTTAAGATTCATCTTGGGCTGTTGGCATAGCTTGACCACCTTGTCCATCAGCTTCCAGGTCTTCTCCAGCGTCTTCTTATCGGTGGACAGGCGCTGGGAGACGCAAGCTTCCGAGATGGCGCCGTGGAGCTTGGAAAGCAGCGATGGGAAAATCTTTGGCTGCGATTGCACACGGGTTCCACTGCCTCTCGTCGCCATCTTTTCTCTCTGCCGCTGCGCTGCCGACTGCGCTGCCTCTGCTTCTTGCTCTTCTCGTTGTCGTTGTTGTTGTTGCTGCTGCCCCTGTCCTGTGGTTGTGGTAGTGGGGCCCTCTATAAGCTATCCAAAATCCGTTCTATCCGACTTTCCCCCGCTCTTCACCGCATGCAATCCTTGGGGACTGGCTGTATCTGCAACTCGGCACTTGGCGTGTGCATTTGGGGCTACGCGTTTCGGCGACGTTTTCGTTTTTTAAACCCACACAATATTTTCGACTTTTTCAATGAATGCGACGGGGTGTGACCGTGGCTGCAACGCCAGTAAATACCGCATATTCTTGCGCAGCTGGGCACACTGTTCAAATCTGCTGTGACGTCACTGTTGACCGTAGAAAAAGTGACCGTTACAAAGTGGAGAGAAGTTTTTGGAAAGTTCAAATTATTTAAAAGATCAAGCCACGTTGTCTAATTAGGCGCTTAAATTTCTTAAATAAACATTAAAAAGTCCTCATTAAATACAATTTTAAGGATTCCTGACAAACCTTTTCCGATCATGGTCGTTAATAGTTTACAATAAAAAGTATTTAAGTCCCAAATTTTCATGTTATTCAGGTGGTCCTGAAAAAGGTTTAATTTCAAAATGTTCTAGAAACCGAGGTTCGGCGACATAATTTATTTTTTTCTCCTTTAAGAATAGTTTGACAGCCTATGTATGTGTATATATTTTTGTAAGAATTATTATTTAAACATTTAGCTTGAACATTTTTTATTGTATTGAACTGATTCTCATACAGTTAAAGCTCAGGGCATTCTCGTTAAAAGAAAAACTATAAGAATATGCAATGACAAGCAGAGGTTAATATAGATTTGACATAAATGAGGATGCCACTGAAATCTTTTCTGCCAAAATTCGGTAGTAATGCTAACGTACGAAAAAATTTCTGAGACATCCCCGAAAATAACTAACAACCCATAACCATAAATAATAGGAGATGGATTGAGGAGTCGTAAATTGATGAGGAGTAAAGTTTTCCATTTCTCTGTGGTATATTTTCCCGGCTGGGGCGAGAACTCTCCCCTTGCCATATAATTTCCGCCACTTTTCCGCCGATCCAACGATCCATACATCCAGCCTTGCGTTTATATTTATATAATACTCGCACTGGTTTGGGTCGCAAGTCTAAGGCTGTGATTAGATGGAAAGAAAACCCGCAGAACAGGTGCGTGGCTCTTGCCTTCTATCGTTTATTATGGCCATCTTTTCGCACACGGTTGTTTCTATCGCTGTTTTTTTATTTTTCCTATTTTTTCTTATTTTTTTTTAATATGCACTGCCACTGCAGCCGCAATTTTCACTTTCCATTTTTATTGGCAACCGCAGGCGAATGCCGTCAAATATTTGGCCAAAAAAGAAACTGCACGGCTGCCAAAAGGTTTTTACGTCTCCGGCCTGGCTTTCTTTTAATTAAGTTTTTTATTTTGGGTTTTTAGTTTCTTATTTTTTTTAATTTTTAGCTGGGTTCGGTTTCGGATCTGCAAGTCGTCGTGTTTTTGGGTATTAGTTCTGGGCGCTGGCGCTTAAAGCCGAGTCACGCCTGTCATATGCAGTTTGGCTCTTTTTTTTTGTTGAGCTCGGCTTTTGGCTCTGACTCTCTCTGATCTGCCCAAAAAGCTAACTGTAAACATTCACTTACTGACCTCTTTTTCGGCGGCAACTTCCACCTCCACTCAATTTTCTTTAATGCACGCGACTCTGCCGCCAATGATCTGCTTCTTCATCTTCCTCCACCCGCCGCCAAGGCACAGTGGTTCAAAAACAAGTTGAAGAACATTGAAAAAAATCATGATTTATTGCCTTGAGGTTGGGGGTTAAACTACCTAAATACTTTAACAAAAATTGTTGAGAATATGGCAGCAGTAAGCAGATGAACGGTGGTTTTGTTTTGATAAATAGTATGTCAGAATTTTTTTTAACCCCCTTTAAATATTTTAGAGAAAAGGACAAAATCTTTTTTAATAACAAATTAATCATTACCTCCATATGTAATTTTTTAACAAAAAATGTAATAGGTATGAATAATGATTGATATAGGTATGAATATGAAGAAGTGATTGTAAGCAGTTGGTCTTCAAAAAGTCAAACAATTAAAAAAAAGTTGGTAAATGTACGTACAATGAATTCAATAACTAGGAGATCGAACTTTAGTGGAGTAATAACTAACGAATTGTTAATGCTCCAAAACTCTAGAACTAGAAAACAGACCTAGTTTTTTAAGAAAAATTAAGAGGCTGTAGTGAGCATAAGCATTTAAGCAACTTCTTTAATGGGACAGACATCCTGAACAAACAAAACCTTATTAATTATCTTCAGGGTCTATGATATATGATATCCATATACAGAGTGTCCTGAAATAATCAATTCTAAACTGGCTTCCATGTAGTAAATTGAACATCTGTTTGGTGGAGAAAAAAGGAAATATCATAGAGTTAGGAACCCGAAAGTTTGGAAAATCAGGACACTGTGCGCCGTGAGAGTGGGCTATTTGGGAGAGTGTGTGTGTGTGACCCTTATTCGCAACAGCCGCTGAGGCGTAAAATTTATGGCTTTAAAGTCTACAAGTCTATAAACACAGCTTCCAGGCTGCACTTTCTACTGCAACTGCCAATGCCACTGCCACTGCCACTGCCGCAACCGCTGAAACTGAATCGTGGATCGTGGATATTGTATATTGGATGTGGGATATTGGAGATATTGTAGAGGCGCGGATGGAGATGGATCTGATCGGATCGGATCGGTTCGGCTTGGTTTGGTCAGGATCGTGTGTGTGCGTTATAATTTCAAATGCAGTTCGCCTTTTTGGCTGCATTTTGCTGCCACTTTTGGCAAATTAAATTTGTACGCAAAACCGATTAGGCCAGCAGACATGACCAAGTTGTTATTTTAAATACCGACAACTCCATTTAATCGATATGCTCAGGCAGGCCACTATGCACTTGAAAAACTATTGGCATTGGAAAAGTGGGGAAGCAAAAGATAACTAGATGTGTAGCTTTTACTTTTGCATTAGCATTATATATTCTAATACTGTACTTAAAATCCCTAGGTGGTGTTTATAAGGATGCAAGGCTTGTACCATTTTTGCCTTTATGGTTTCCTCCTTTCTTTTTTCGAAAAGTACACATTCACATTGGGGAAATAAGTAGTTAGAAAATTGTAAATAAGATTGTTTAGTAATGGAATTCTAAAACTTGATAATAATGCCAATTTCAGTAATATTGAATTCTTAAATATCGAATATTTTCTAAGTTTTCTATTTTCTAAATAATCTTCGATTCTATCTTCTCATATGGAAGACTTATTTATGTAAATATAATACATATTTTTATGCAAAGCAAAAATGAAGGAAATGAAATTTATCTCAGTATTCGATAACTAAAAAATAAAGTTTAATTTATTGTATTAAGTTTTAGGACATTTTACCTATTCAAGGGTACTTACTTAAGGGTACTTACCCTTGAATTTTGGATTGTTTTTTTTTTTTTTATTGCTAAATTTGAGGTAATTATAATCTCGTAATCTCTGAAATAATTACCTCTTTAAGAGTTCATTATTTTAAAATGTGTTGTCTATTTGTTTGCCTAATTGTTATCAAAAATGTAAGTTTCTTACCCATAAACTTGGGGCGATTCTTTTAAATGTCAATTTTCCTTGGCGACATTTCAGTGAAGTGCACCTCTTTTATCTCGAGTGTAGCGGCAACAACAACTCCTGCTGGATGCTCTGCTCTGCCGCCGCCGACTGCGCTGCCTTTCACCCATATAAATTTCTTTTCATTGCAAATTTTTTGCCATTCGTCGGCGCATTGTCAAACCTTTCAGTCGCATTTGGAGCAAAGCTTTTCGAGATTTTTCACATCTGAGCGACCAGACAAACACTACAAAGGCCTTAAAAAATAATACAACAAAAAAAAAAGAGTAAAAAAAAGCAAGGCGAAGACGACAATACGAATTGTACAAATCGGATGCGAGCGCGTGTGTGTTAGTGTCCATTCATTCATTCAGTCAACAACAATAAAAGCAAATGAAATACGAAATGCAATCGCCGCAGTTGCAGTCGGCGTCGCAGTAGGCGTCAGCAGAGGCAGAGGCAGCGGCAGAGGCAGACAAACAGTAGCAGCATCAAAATCCGAAAAGAGAGATCATTTTTCATATGCGAATCGAAACTCGAAGAGCGCGCATCAAAGTCAAATTCAAACGGCGAAAGAGTAACGAACAAAAGCCAATTGTTTTCTGTGCATAATGCGAAGTAAATAACACAAAAAAAAATTGAAAGAAAATAATAAAAAAGGAAAATAAAGCCTTAGCCAGAACGTAATTGAAATCAAATTAAAGGCGGGCCGTGCAAAAAATACACACAAAAAAAAAGCCAAGGCGATAAAAAAGAAATTATGCTCCATTGTGCGATTGTGTGAGAGGTCAAGTGCCCGGCAGGCAACAGAGAGAGAGAGGGAAAGAGATAGATAGATGCAAGCTTAATGTTAATAGGCAAACGAATGAACTCATAAAAGGGCAGCCAGAGAAGAAGAAGAGCAGGCCAAGCCCAAATGACCGCAAGAATACCGTTAATTCGAACAGCTTCAGCGGCATTACGAGCATCTAAACAGTCTATATAGTCTAATAGCCCAACAGATAGACAGGCCAGAGACAGAGAGAGAAAAACTTTCTTCTTCGCATAACAAGTAGTGTGAACTTCAGCCGCATAAAAGTTTGCTACTATTTCAATTTCAATTGTTAACGAGCGAAAGCGCCGCCCGTCACGTCACGCACAGCAGCAGCAACAACAACAAAAGCAACAAAAGCCAGGAAAAGTGCAGCAGACAGCAAACAGCAGGCAGCAAGGCAGCAAGGCAGCGAAAATGTCCAAGTCGCAGCAGAAACAGCATCTCCATCTCCATCGCCATACCCATCACCATCCCCCCGCCTTAAAAGCCACCCAAACGCAGACCCACAGATTTAGCCAGACTCTAAGCCAGATCAAGAGATTCAGCTATAACCACAGCCCCGGTCTGAGCCTCAGTCTCCATCTCAGTCTCATTGGCCCGAAGCGACAGCTGTTTGGCGCACTGCTGGCCATGTTCACGTTGGCGGCATTAGCGTCAACCACCAATGGTAAGTCATACATGCACTACACTGCAAGAAACTGGAAAAAAGATCTTAAAAATCGAAATCTAAGTTTAGTAGTACCTACGCACTTAGGAAATATAAGTTATTTTGACCAAGATCGATCGAGACTAGTTTCATCTCTACTTTTCTTAACTTTCTTCATCTCAAAAGAAGAACTCAAAGCATAATCGTCTTGATATCAAGAACGTTTCTTCTCAACAGAGTGAGAAGACGAATTGAGATCATTTAATCTAGTCATTTAATCGTTCTCAAAGAAGAACTCGGGACAATTGATTTCAAGAACGTTTCTTCTCAAAAATGTGAGTCGAATTAAGATCATTTAATCAGGCCATTTAACCAATCTCAATTTTTCTGAGTAATGCAGTAGGTTTCAGAATAACTTACAAATAATTTGGTGGAACTCTCTTTGACCTACTTAACTTATTTAAGCCTAACATTCGCAACATAGATTTAATGCAGAAGCAATCTTTTATACGAAAAAAATGAATAAAACTTTTAAATTCGACTTTCCTTTAATTAAAGTTAAACCCATTACCAAGTTTATTAAGGTTCTAAGCTTAATATCACCATCCAAGGTTCTACAGAACTTTAGATTCTCAAATGAAAAACCCCACATTATCTCGAGCTAAAGGAAAGTTGCGAACAGACTAGACTGTGAGTGCTGCTGTCTCAATTACAGCTCAATTTCTCTGGGTGTTGAAACGGAGAATGTGAATCGGGGTCCGGATCTAAGACCTACAGCTGTGCGGTGGTAGAAAGGCCGTCGTCATAGCAGCTATTAATTTCTAAGGTACTACTCCGCACAAAGTGAATGTAAACTGGCACACACGAGAGGCTCTCCCAGAGACCCCGAAAGACCCCCATAGACCACCGAACTCCCCATTTTCAGCATTTTAAGACCCTAGCTCCTCGACGCACAACACGCTCGTAAATATTTTCGTGCACAATTTGTCCAACATTCAAATAAATTCATTAAAAGCACGAAGGGGAGACACAGAAGCCAGGGGCACTGAAAGGGGGTAATAGTTCATGGGGAAATCAAGCTGACCGCACAGTGGAAACGAGCTTGAAATCGTGGTAAACGGTATGGGGGGAATACTACACATATATCGTTTAAAGTTGACCCGGAGCGAAATGATTTGTTTTACTTGTAAGCGCGATCATTTGGTTAATTGATAACAGCACTTCATTGGGAGATTGATGGGTGAAAGATCAATTCGAATTGGATGCTGTGATCTCAGATATATGTTTTTAATGGCCCCAATCAGTGGCGCCGTGATTCATCTCTGGGCTGGGTCTTGGTTTGGTCTCTGGTCTCTGCTTTCCACTGTACCACACCAAACCAGAGCAAACCGAGCACACATGGTATATGTACTGTGCATATATATCATGGAAAAGTCCCTGCCCAGCAATGCAGTGCGTTGGTTGCTGGATTTTTCCACTTTTGAAAATTATACGGTGGCTGCTTTTATTATTTCTCTCGCCTTTTTCTTTTTTGTTTTTGCAATTGATGGCATCCGATAGGCAGGAGCCTGGCAGCAACTCGCTGGAGGCCAGGAAAATGCGCCTGCACTTGGAAAAATTTGTGTTTTAAAGATAGTTGTGGAAGTTTCAAGGTTGCTCTAAATGATTCAATATGAATCCTAGCTGGAAAAAAAGTTTGGAACTTAAAAAATGTATATTAAAGGAGCGATGTTGGTGGTCATAAGGTGGAATTTAATTAAAGGTTTAGGTATCTATTTGCAAACCTATTTAAAATGTTAGATTCTACTATTATCGTGTAAATATCTTCCTTCAAAAGGGGGTTTCTTTAATATGTTCGATTATTTATATTTATTATTATTTAGATCTTACTATTATATTGTAGATATACTACTCTAACAGATAGTTTTTAGAATATTATTATTATCAACCGTTTAAGCTACCGGTTCATCTTCTATTTCAAATTTTAGTAAGAGATACTACTAGATGGTTTTTTAATATCTTTATATTCGTGCTAAAACACTAATAAAATCTTTTAGTACTTAACAATACTTCAATTCTAAAATCTTAGGGTTCTCCCAGTTTTATTAACCAATTTCGAATCATTTTTTCTTCGAGTGCTGAAATGGTAGGAGTGGGTGGGGCAGTTGAGGTCGCATAGTTGCAATGCCGAATGAGATAGGCTGCGGTCTCGGGATTGCCCCTGACCATTCCAGCGGATCGTTTACATGTGCATTAATTCCTAACGCCGCTTAATTTTCTCCGGGCTTAATGGCTCCGATTCAGATTCGGAATCGTATCATCCAGCCAGAGTCCGAGTCCATTAAGCTGAGAATGCGTCTGGCTGGCTGACTGGCTGGATGTTGAAATTTCCATCTTTATGGCCGGCAGCAGCAAATTGGAATAATGAACGTGGGTTCAATTATCGCAGCCAAACAATCGTGGCAGCCTCAAAGAGCGCTAATAGATTTTCTACAGCTAGTGGGTAAACGTACATATATATTTGTATATCTATATCTCTAACTGAGCTGAGTGCTTAGTGCTTCCTCCGGAGGCGGCTCTCACAGCTTTCTTTGCAAACAGATCCAAACTAAACCAGCGGTGCCACATCCGACCAAAGACAACAGAAATGTTCGGTGGTCGGTGCCAGAGGCAATTAGTGTGGAAATTTCACTTGCAGTTTTTAGCACAGATTAAGCTTACGATTTCTGGAGGGGATTAGCATGAACAATTATAGATGGAGGTCGGCAGATAGTAGGTATATGTATGTATGTGTCTGTGCTGTACATTTAATAATACTTGTGCTCAAATCTCTGGCCATAAATGCCATTGTGTCGCTTACTTGGAATCGAGATTTGAAGACGGGTAACATTTGCCGTTACCGTTAGTAAAGGGAACTCCCCGCTCCCCTAGTTCTATGTACCAGTATAACCTCCCGAATTATTCAAGTTAATGGCTGGTTACTTGAGTCGGTCATGCGATCACTCGGGGGAGTCGAAGGAGGAGGAGGAGGGTCTGCAGGTCTGGAGGTCTGGAGGTGGGCCAAACAGTGGGTCACAACTGCGCAAAATGCCCTACGATCGTGCGGCTAATCTGACATTTGTATGCCCAGAGCCGACTCTTCCGCATGCCCGCCATCGGGCTGAGGAAAATGCAAAGGGAAAGTTTTGTTTACCGGGTTCGAGACTCAGTTACCCTGGGAAAATTCGGGGGAAAGGCGTTGATTAAACATTGAAAGTGGGAGAGTTTGGGAGGTAAAAGAGATTCGGGAAGTCAAGATAATCAAAAAAGTAAACATATCTCAAAATTTATTAGTTGGACCGACCGATTAGACGAAAATGTAATCATATCATTTTGATAAGTGAATAAATTTATAACGAAATAAATTCGACTTTAGTTAAAGTCGGATTATTTAAGAAATTACCTTTTAAACCATGATTGGTTTAAATTAGAGTTTAATTATGATCTTATGATGGAAAGTAGTAACCAATGGAAAGTCGGATTTTTTTGAGAAATCGCCTTTTAAACCATGATTGGTTACAATTTGTTTGCGACTATGATTAAATTAAAGTTTAATTATGATCTTTTGATGGAAACTAGTAATCAATGGATTACCTGTGAAAATTATAGGCTCAAAAATGTTTTTCAAGTATTATCATCTGACGTCTAGACGTCTAGACGTCGTAGTTTAAAGAATAGAACATGAGATTGTGCAAACCAATGTGGTTAATTAAAAAAAAAGATTCCAAAAGTGTATAAAAGTTAATTGATATGATATGTCAGATCTGTGGTGTTAAGTTTCCTTAACTACCGACTAACTTAAGATCTTGTAATCTTTAGGAAAAAACCTTTCCCCTTACAATTTAAAAACTAAATGATTTAATTTTTATATTTACAATTGAAAAACTAACTCTTATACCAAATCTTCCCACTTCACAGGCGCTGTGACAGACTCCCCCATTAAGATTATCCGGCTGCCGGCGCAGGCGCCAGTTATCCGCTATCGCAGTGCGGATGCGGCGCCGGACTCACTGCTGATCAACTACCGCCAGGATGCCCAGCCTGAGTTGTCCTCCACGTTGATGCAGGCCCCTGGAGCGGCGGCTGCTGCTCTGGAGTCCCTGCTTCGCGAGGAGACCGAGCAGCAGCAGTTGGCCCAGATGGGCAGGCGTAACCGGGCCAGTGCCACGACCACCGGCAACTGTCCTCGATCCTGTCCACCGAGCATAACCGTGGGAGCTGAGCCCGTGTGCGGAAGTGATGGACTGATCTATGCCAATCTCTGTGAGCTGCGCAAGAAGACTTGCTCCCGCAGCGGAGTTTCCCTGATCAAGGATGTCCGCGATGGCTGCGAGCGATCTAAGGGCTCCGATTGCAAGCACCGATGCAGCACGGAGAAGGATCCGGTTTGTGGAACTGATGGAAGGACATACTTGAATCGCTGCATGTTAAGGGTACAATCCTGTCGCGTGGGATTGGCTGCCGTTAAGCTCTCGCACGTGGGTCCTTGCAGCAATACGAGTGCTGTGCGCGAGTCCTGTCCCGTGGATTGTAATAGTGCGCCCAAGGATGGACCCGTGTGCTCATCGGATGGCAATGTCTACAACTCCACGTGCGAGATGAAGCTGCATACTTGTGGACAGGGTGTGGTGAAAACAAGCAGGAAGCACTGCCAGTCCACCAGGATGTGCAGGGAGTCTTGCTGGCGGGTTGCGAGACCAACTTGCGGCTCAGACGGGCGCCTATATGCAAGTCCCTGCAAGATGCGATCCTCTAATTGTGGCAAGCACGTCTTTGAGGTTCCCCTGTCCTTTTGCATGCCGCAGGAGAGGCACGGCAGTGCTTCCGATGCCTGTCCCACCGAATGTCCCAAGGTGGAGGCCGATTCCACCTCGCAGTATGTGTGTGGCAGCGATGGAAACATATACTCCTCACTCTGCGAACTGAAAATGCTCAACTGCGGGTGAGTCTAGATGGGTTTTCGAAAAGTAAAAGGTGGTTTTAATTTGATATTTTAGCCCGCAACGAAAGTCAATCCAAAAAGTGGGCATGGACAAGTGCAAGAGTCGACTGACCCGCTGCAAACAGCTGCCTCCTTGCAAGGATTTCAACAGCCTGTTCGGTTCCATCTTCAGCTCGAAACGAAACGACAAGCTCTGCGGAACGGATGCGAAGACTTACAACAATGAGTGCGAACTAGCCCATGCCACCTGTCTGTAAGTACCCCAAATAAACGATCATATAGTTATAAGATACGGCTGTCTAAAACCAAGTTTTTACCCCCTCTCAGACGCGGCGTGAATCTGGCCCACATAGGACCCTGCACGGATCTCAATTCGCCCACCAAGGATTGTGGAGATGCCTGCACCCGGGCGGATTTGGAGCAGCAGCCGATATGTGGGTCAGATGGCAATACCTTCGCCTCCATGTGCGAGTTCAAGCGGCGCACGTGCAATCTCCGTGTGGTGCCCGTTTCGCTAAAGAACTGCGCTCTGACCGCAGACTGTGAATCGGATTGTGATGCCCAGCCACCGAGCTTTGTCTGTGGATCGGATAACAATCTGTACAAGTCCGAGTGCCACATGCGCAAGGAGAACTGTGGCAAGCACGTGTTTGTGGTGCCCCTTAAGCGCTGCCTGGCCGCCTTCCAGCTCAAAGGATGTGCCCGCATCTGTCCCAGGGAATTCGAGCCCGTTTGCGGCAGCGACAATAAAACCTATCTGAACGACTGCTTCCTGGAGATCGAGAACTGCAGGGCGAACCAGACGGTCAACGTCAACTACTACGGCGCCTGTGGCCGCCCCGAAGCACCATCCACTAACTTCCTGTACTAGGATGTATGCGTGGCGCCTTCATTTCACTTGGCATTTAATATTTTTAGGCTATAGTCTTGTATTGTACTTTTTTAAAAGCGATATTTATTGAGTTTGAATTAAAGCCCCCCAACGAACTTACGAGGAATGCACTTGAACCCTGGCCAGAAACTCCGATCTAGGCAGAATCATCGAAGAGCTTACTCAGCATTGCGTTGATCTCATGCTGTCTGTACTTAACGTATTTATCGGGATTCTTGCTAAAGTGCACCCCAGAGTAACTAAAATGGATACAAGGATTAATTAGGTATAGATAGAGAAACACTACATAAACTTACATTTCGTAGAATTTATTGTATTTGGGTAAAATGTGCTCCACATTATCACGTTTGATGCCCTCTCGCAATATGACGTCGGGTATTGAGATGCTTCGCTGAATTTTACATGCTTCTTCAAAATCCTTGTTAAAGTTCTGTAACAACATTTGAACAACAGGTTATATTAGTGTTGTTCGGTGAAATAATCGCAATAAACCTACAGAAAATCTCTCCTTCAGAATACTGCGGTCCTTATCCTTGACCTTGCCGGCCACTGGTTTAGGAAGTTCATCCAAGGAGTAGATGCCCACTAGCATTTTGGACCAGGTCTTCTGATAGCTAGCCTTCAGTTCGCGTATCATCTCCATGTAGCTATGTTCGCACTCCGGTTCCGCCAAGGTGACCAAATCAATCAGATTGGAGCGCTGCAGCGACTTGAGGATGTAGTGAATGTTGTTAAGGCGGAAGAGGTGCTTAGTGGCCTGGTCATTATACTGTTCGCACTTGTTCATGATGGAAAGATTCAGCTCTGCCAAAGCTTTCTCTATATAAAAAAGTGTTTAGAAAGGTGAAGAAGAAATGGTTCATCTCCACTTACTTATGTAAATGGCTAGAAGAGCCTTGTTTCGTTCATCGCCAGCCAGCGTCTTCTTCATCAAAATGGTGTCCAGTTGCGTGGAGTACAGAACATCCTGCGCCAAAATTGAACCAATCACATCAAAGTGTTCGTACAAGTGCTCAATAAACCAGATCGTATTGGAGGTCAGCTCGTGAACGGTGGCATCTTTTGGAACATTGCTTTGGCCCACAATGTTAGTGCTTGATTCCCCTTTTACCACGTCCAGGAAGTGCTCCAGTGCCTTGGCTCCCGTGTGTTGCAGCTTATTCAACACCTTGGTGAGCTGTTCTCTTTGCGCTGGATCATAGGTGCGCTCGATATCCGGTTGCAGCAGGATCACCCGCTTAAGGGCGGAGAATATTCCCAGTGCCGAGGTCCACTCTTTGCGGGAGATGCAGCGCAGGATGCGTTGGGTGATGGACTCTGCGTCCTTAACCACCAGATCGATGGCATTATAGGCCAATCGGGCGAATACTTCGTTGTGTTTCGACGGGGGAATAATGTCGTGCATGATGGCTCGCTCCCAGTTGAGGAGGCGCTGGAGTCCCAGCAGCATGACCAAGTACTTGTCCAGTTCCTGATCTCCGTCCAGCAGGTCCTCGGATGTCAGGTGATCGCTGTGAGACGATGCCTTCTTGATGGAGAAGCCGGTGGACTGCTCAATTGTCTGGGTCGCACGTAGATATAACTTATTGGCCTTCTTTTCGAATCTGAGGATAATGAATTAAGATAATTTCTTTTTGGTAAATTTAGAGAGTGAGATTGGGTTCTTACATTTGCTGCAGGCGGGCAGAGGTGGTCTTTTTGGGTTCCGTTTGACGTCCACTGTGCCGAGGTCTCTGCAAGAAGTCACACATTTTTAAAGTAAATCCAAGTAAATGTATTATTAAAACTTTTTTTGTTTATTACGTATACTATGAGTTGAGTGTTTACATATTTTTTGTATAAAATTGATGACTAAGAGTACAAAAAGATTTACTTATAACATTAAATTAATTGATCTTTTCTTTTTTTGGCTTTAGGACACCAGGTCCTTTACAACACGCCTCACATTACATATTTGACTATCCACCTATATCAACATTACTAATTTCTCTTCACATAAAACATTTTTAAAATTTTAGTTATAAATAAAACAGAATCTGCCAGCGATCCGTTTAGAGAGTGTGGAGAACATCCATGATACGGTTGCAATCCTCATCGGTGTTTAGGCCAATTTTAATGAGATCAGCCCGTTCCATGGAGGCCAGTTCCACTAGATCGATGTGAGCCTCCTCGAAGTTGGTCACATAATTCTCCAGGCCCATGTGCATGAGAATCTGCTCCACATTGGCAGCATGGTTAACTACGTACGAATGGTTTGACGCCTTTATGGAACGACGACGCGACTCCAAAGTCAACGAGGTATCCCTGCTGGAGTCATCCGAACAGGTGTCCGGGCTGCTGCAGCTCTTAATCTCACTCTCCGTCTCGGTAATCTCTTCCTGCGGCTTGGGCAAATTGAAGACCGGTGGTTTGAGCTGAGTGCGGTGACTATGCTGATGACTATGTTGATTATGAGCAATTTTCATTGGCGGCTTCTTGAATGCTTCGAACCGCATGGGCGATGCCGGACTCTTCTTCGTGCCCATGTTTTCGATGGGCGATAGATTGGGCGAACGGAAGTTGCCGAAAATCGGTGTGGAGCATCGCACGTTGGAGGTGTTAACCTTCAGGGTATTCCATCTGCGCTCCTTTAGCGTTGGAGTCCGGGGAAAGGTAATTTTGACCTTGTTTGTGGGTGTACGACAATTCTCCATTTTTAGCAATTAAAATACAGAAAACGATGCGTTCTTTGCGAATTCAAGCTGACAAATGGCGGACAGCGAAGTTGACCGGTAATGACGCTCCTTGGGGAGCTTTTTCGAATCGTTTCCGTTAACCGAAACCATTAGTGATGTGAAAAGTATAATACCGATCTGTAAAAGCTACATATCGCTGTTTTAAAGACCTCCTCTTGTTATAAACCATATGACTTATTCTCTAGACTATAAGAAATATCACATAGAGCTATTCTCCTTAGTTACGATAGAAAATGTTACAATTGAGTCTTCATACAATATATATGCTTTTAAAAGAAAAGAACTTACTACAGAAGTAAATACTAGAATTTACATAAAATGAGAACTCACCAGTGCTTCGTGACCCCAGCTATTGCTTTTTTGGTGATCCTTGAGCAACTGCAGCGATCGGAGGACCACATCGCCCCGTTCCGTGGCGTAGATGTGGGTGTACTCCCTTAAATTTTGTTCCAACCAGTGGGAGATGGTGTACAGCTCCTCGCGAGTGGTCTGCGACAGCTGCCGGAACGAGGTGTACTCATCGCTGGAGTCGTCCTCGATGTAGATAAGATCCAACAGCTCCACGGGCTTCAACGGAGCGCTGTGCTTCTTAAGCAGCATACTGTAGTGCTGATTGAGACCCTCGCATCCGGTATTAAACAAACTGGTGACATTCTCGAGCTCCACACTCTGAGAATTGTTGTGCCGGAAGTAATCATTGGCATCCCGAAGTTTCGCCAGTGCATCCAGGAAGACGGAGATGTTTCCCTCCACGGGACCCTGGTGAATCAGCTGGCACACCTCCTGGGAGACATCGTAGTGGGAGAGAACACTTTCCAGACAATTCAGAGTGGCCTCCAGATCTGAAAAAGAAAGAGGCGGTGACCCATTAGTTTTCTGAAAATCCCAGGGCTTATCTCTGATCCTACTCTGCTGCCTTTTCTGAAGCTGCTCCGTCTCCTGGTAGACGGGTAATATGGTCTGCTCCAGGTTCCCCAAACGCTTCTCGAAGATTGTAAGTATACTGGACATTTGCGTGGAGAGATCATGATACTTATCCACTCGATCTTTCAGCAGAGCCAAATTAGTAGCTTCCTAGGGGGATTTACGGTTAATATAAGGGTTTCCAAGGCTGACAACTGGATGTACCTTTTCCAACTTATTGTGCGCCTGCAATGAACTGTCCAGGTTGTTCATTCTCAAGCTTTTAAATGGTTAAATTCGTTAAAAACAAATAATTGTTGCTGAAGGGTAAAAATTCTTGTCTTTTATTTTGGGTGGAAAAAGTATGCCATTCTTAAGCTTAGTCACTTTGGTCACACTACTAATTACCGCGTTGCCAACTGCCTTGCACCAAGTTAAATTGTAACGGACATTAACAATGAGGTATATTAAACTATATGTTGTTAAATAGCTACCTAAGCACATACAAATAGATTTATATTTGTATAATACTTATCTCTGATAAGTTTTATTGTTTATTTCTCAGGCCAAGTTTAATAGCCAAAACTAACGGGAAAACCCGCCAAAGTACCATCACTAGCCAAGACGCCAAATTTTGTTGTGGGTTCGGTTGCCATGGAATCTGTGTGTAAACAACGCACCTGCATTTAGGAATTTTTTACCAACTATGCAGGATTAACCAAATCGGCTTGTGCAATAATGAGGGGCGTTCTCAAATGGCTGGAACGCATCGAGTTTCCCAATAGCAAAGAAAACGAGATCAGGTAAAGCTTTCTCACCCGGAAAACCACAACCTGTTGCTCCATAACGGTAATCGAAAAACCCCTTTTTCCAGTGTCCACAATGTTTGCTACGCCCCCGATGGCAGCCAATTGGTGGTGGCGGCTGGGGATCGACTCCTCATCTACGATCCCAACGATGGATCCTTGCTAAACACACTGAAAGCCCACAAGGACACCGTGAACTGTGTGGCCTACTCCAAGGATGGCAAGAGGTTCGCCAGCGGAGCCTCTGACAAAATGGTCATCGTGTGGTCACCGCAGCTGGAGGGACTTCTCAAGTATTCGTGAGTACACAGAGAGAAATACAATATAAGACGCATTTTAGGGTTTTTAAAAATTAAAAATATAATATGTTGAAAATTAAAATTTCAACATTTAAATATATCCATATTAAAACTTATTTTTAGATATTAATTTGGAATTTAGTTTTAAAAAAATCATTTTTCCACAGGCACGGCGACTCCATTCAGTGCATGAGCTTCAATCCCGTTTCTCACCACCTGGCCTCCTGCTCCTTGTCGGATTTTGCCTTCTGGTCGGCGGATCAGAAGGCAGTACAGAAGTACAAAATTTCTGCTCGCGTGAATGGCTGCTCCTGGACAAACGACGGGCAGTACTTGATCCTGGGCCTGGCCAATGGCATCATATCTATTAGGAACAAGTTAGGCGAGGAGAAGGGACGCATCGATCGGCCTGGTGGTCCCAACAGCAACGTTTTCAGTGTCCAGTGCTGTCCGGCAAGTGGACCGGGTAGTGTAGACACAATTGGCGTGGTAGACTGGAGTCAAACACTGTCTTTTCACACCTTGAGTGGCCAGATGATTGGAAAGGAGCGAACCCTGGGATTCGATCCTTTGTGCCTGCAGTACTTTCCCAATGGGGAGTTTTGTTTGGTCGGCGGCTGCACTGGAGGACTGCACTTCTTTACGAGAGAGGGCATCCGGTTGGGCACGCTGGGCGATAGCTTTGACACCTGGATCTGGACGGTGGCCCTGCATCCGAATGGCCAGTCCTACACCATTGGTTGCCAGGATGGCACCCTGGCCTGTTTTAACATTGCTTCAAGCACCGTACACGCACTTTATCGGGAACGATATGCCTTCCGGGAGAACATGTGCGACGTGATCATTCAGCACCTGATCTCTGGCCAAAAGGTGCGCATTAAGTGTCGGGATTTGGTGCAGAAAATAGCAATATATCGCAATCGATTGGCGGTACAATTGCCGGAACGTGTGGTTCTCTACGAGCTGAGCTCTGGAGAGGATCAGCCCATGCACTACAAGGTGCGTGAGAAGATCCAGCAGAAGTTCGACTGCAGCCTGCTGGTCGTCTGTGGCCGCCACATCGTTCTGTGCCAGGAGAAGCGACTCCAGTGTCTAGATTTTATGGGTGTCCTGCAGCGAGAGTGGATAATGGACTCCTTTATACGATACATCAAGGTCACCGGTGGCCCTGTGGGAAGAGAAGGACTGATGGTGGGTCTGAAGAACGGCCAGGTGTTCAGGATCTTTCTCAACAACTCGCTGCCCCTACTCATAACCACTGCTGTATCTGCTGTACGTTGCTTGGATATCAATTCAAAGCGCAGCAAGATCGCCGTTGTGGATGATGTGGGTCGTCTGGTAGTGCGCGACATAATCAACGATACGATTTTGTACCAGGATACGGGTGTGAACAGCGTCACTTGGAACACACATTTGGACTCGATGCTCTGCTACACCCATACCACGGGCGGATTAAGTGTTCGAGTTGGAAACCTGCCGCCAAGGGCACCGCAGAACATGCATGGGGTGGTGGTGGGACTTTGTGGCGCCACCGCCTTCTGTCTGCGCGGTAACATCATGCACAACACGCCCTTGGCTCTTGGCTCTACCATGTGGCAGTTTATTGAAGCTGGATTGTTTGAGTAAGAAATATCCTCCCTCCTGTTGTCATCCTATGTTAACAGATGTTTTCTTCAATTCGCAGAGAAGCTTACCAGGTTGCCTGCCTGGGTGTGACCACCAGCGACTGGGAGGGATTAGCCCAATCCGCTTTGGAGGCACTGCACATCAATATCGCCCGTGATGCCTACGTCAAAGTTAGGAACCTTCCCTGGCTTAAGCTGATCGTTGAACTGCGAGATCAGCAGCAACGATCGGCTGTCCCCAAGGAGGTGCTCCTGGCAGAAAACTGCGCCTTTGCCGGAAAGTTCAAGGAGGCGGCTCGTCTATTTCTGAAATGTGGACAGTCATCGAGAGCACTGGAAATGTACACAGATCTGCGAATGTTCGATCTGGCCCAGGAATATATAAAGGACGGCACTGCGCAGGAGAAAAAGGAACTGGTACGCAAGCGGGCAGAGTGGGCCTATTCGGTCAAGGAGCCACGAGCTGCGGCCGAGCTTTTGCTTTCAGCTGGAGAAAACCAGAAGGCCATTGATATTGTGGCCGAGCAGGGATGGGCCGATGTGTAAGTGGATTATAGATATTAAATTAGAAATTCTGCTAAAGTAATATATTTTTCCAGGCTATTTGATATCGGACGTCGACTCAGCCTGACTGAACGCGATGCTCTGGAATCGGTGGCCCAAAATCTAAAAACCCTGAAGGCTCTTCCCCTGGCTGCTGAGATTTTTAAGAAGCTGGGTGATGAGGCCCAAGTGGTGCAGCTGCACATAGAAGTTCGCGACTGGCCGGAGGCTTTTCGCCTGGCGGAATCCTTGCCAGAACTGCTGCCCACAGTGCATTACCAGCATGGACAATGGCTCGCGGAAACGGATCAGTTTATAGAGGCCCATCAGGGTGAGTTCTTTAGTTTAAATTAACTTACTATATATGTATATCTTAAAAGGCAGATATTAAAATATATGAATTTATTTTCAGCTTACTTAAAGGCTGGCCGCACCAAGGAAGCCAATCGTTTGCTGAAGCAACTTAGCAATACGGCCATCGCAGAGGAGCGCTATTTGGATGCCAGCTATTTCTATTGGCTACTGGCTAAGCAATGTTTAGATGTCTATCATGCTAAGGAGTAGGTTACGTCCTATTTTAAGCATTAACAATTTATGTCATACATTTCCCTTACTTAATTTCAGTGAACAAAATCCTATCGATCATCACCTGACAGAGTACAAAAATCATTTACGTATTGCCAAGGTCTATTATGCCTACAGCGTCATATATTCCTATATGAAAGAACCTTTTACTACACATTCCCCAGTGAGTCTTTTTAATGTAAGCCGTTTTATACTCAACGAAGTGGAGCAGAAGGGAGTCCCCAAAGGTGTTAGCATGTTGTAAGTTAATAGATTTAAGCGATGAATGGTTCTAGATTAATTTAAATATGATTCATCTCTGCAGTTCGGTTCTTTTTACCCTGGCTAAGCAAGCAAAGTTTTTGCAGGCCAATAAACTGTGTCTGCTCGTTAACAAGAGATTGCAGTCCCTAAAGCCACCAGCTGGAGTCCAAGAGCAGATTGATGTGAGTAGTTTAGGGGATTTATTGTTAAATTTGATGTTAAGGAACCACTTTGCAGCTCAATTTCCTAAACAGCAAGGCTTGCAAGAGTGGCTTTAATGATCCCGAGGAGCTTTTGCCACTTTGCTACAAGTGCTCCAATTACAGTCAACACTTGAACAACAATTGCTGTCCCACCTGCCGGCAGGATTACATTTTCTCATTTGTTTCCTTTGGTAAGAAAATCAGCACTGCGACTAGACTTCTTTTTTCTAAAAATTTGTCTTTTAGAAATTCTACCCTTAGTACAATTTTATCCTGAAGTCGATATATCTGATGCGGAAGCCGAACGTTTGCTGTTGGCTCCTGCGAAACATGCCGAGGATTCGGATCCCTTTAACGAGGAGGTGGCCAGTGCCTTGCCTTTGAGTCTGGATCGTAACGGCCTGCGTGCCATAGATCCCAATCATGTGCTGATCCTTAAACGAAGGGGAAAGAATGTACGGAATGTCTACTATCGCAATATATTGCCCGATCTACAGGTAACCTATTGTCCGCAATGTCTGCTGGTGAGTTTTAACCGAAACCATTATCTATATTTTGATTCATAAGTAATTTTTGCAGCTATTCTATTCGGAGGACTTTGAGCTGCAGGTCCTGCAGAAGGGCTTCTGTCCTTTTTGCCACACGTCCTCGGAAAAGTTGTTAGAAGACTTTTAAAATGGCCTTTCTTAGTGTGTAATACAATATAATTTCCGTCCAGAACTGTACAAATAGGAACTATACGCAAGTAAACCAGATTTTACGCCCAGGTTTCCTCCTGATATCGTCTCTGCTTGATCATCAGATCCACGTAGTCGGCATCACCAGCAAGGATCTCGATGAAGGCTTCTCTAACAGACTTTGGCATATTATTGGAGCTGCCAGCCACGTAAATAAATGCATTTTGTTCTTTAATAAGCTTTGCCAGGTGAGCACCGTTCTGGGTGATTAAATGTTGGACATAGACCTTGTGATCCGTATCCCTCGAGAAGGCAATGTGAGGTTCTACCTTCTTGGCATCGGACCAGGTGGAAAAGTCTTTTTCAAAGTGAAAATCAGCAGTCTTGTTCCGGCAGCCAAAGAAGACAATCAAGGGACCAATGGTAGATCCCCTTGACTGAGCATGCAATCGGTTTTGGATAATGCTACGGAAGGGAGCGATGCCCGTGCCAGGTCCCACCATAATAAGTGGTATACTCAAATCCGTTGGCCAGACCATGGTTCCTTTCTTGACCACTCCTCGCAGCTCAGTTCCCGATCTCAGATTTTTCAGCCAATTGGAGCATAAGCCCATACGCGGTGTATGCATAATTGTTTTGTATTCCACAACTGCCACCAACAAATCCAAAGTTAAGGAAGACACATCCGAGGCTATGGAAAAGCTGCGAGGTTGGATTAGCGGCATCATCTCAAAGAGCTGCTGCAAAGTTAAACTGGAGGTGGCATGCCGAAAATCCTCCAGAACCTCCAAGAGACTCCTTCGCGGCCTGTTTACATAGGCCACCAGGTCGTCGATACCCTCGCCGGAGCAGAACTCCTGGAGCTTTTCTTTTTCCATTTCATCGCTGCAGTTTTGGCCAAGGACCTCGAGGAATCGCTGGCGCGGTTTGGAACTCAAATCCCAAACGTATTTTGCCGCCTGCTGGAGACTTAGGGGCAAGGAGTAGGCTTTGGGAAGCGGCATGTCTAGATAGGCACTGGTTACCTCCACCACAGTGCTCTCATCGAAGTCCAGGCTGTGCTCGTGGATAAGATCAAAGAATGTTTTGACAGCTTCATCGCTATTTTGGGGCTGAACATCGAGCACATCGCCGGGTTCCCAACTTAGATCCTCAGTTTGACATTCCAACCTAAGGAAGCGCACGTCCTGAAAGTGGTCCACTGTCGTTGTCCTCTGATTGTCCTGGATTTTGAAGGAGTGGGATGGTTGCTTTTGTGTCCAGAGCAGGGTTTCCAAGGGAGCAATGTGAGAATCCTTGGGCAGCTCCCTTACCAACCATTTTCCTATGGCTTGATTACTGATGTTAAGTTTGCTCTCATCTAGGCCAGAAATGCCCTTCAGGGCAGCCCAAAGATCCTTTGTCCAGGCGAGAGACACGCCCAAATGCCCGTAATCATGCTGATCATCACACAGACCCACTGGACACACGGCTGTGGCACCCAGATTCTGCAGCCTCTTGCTCAGCTTCTTGGCGGCGTAATTAAACTTTGGGTAACTGGAGTCGCCGAGTCCCAGGCAGGCGAACTGCATTTCTTGCAGGGATTGGGCGGGTAGGCTGCGCTTCAGCAGGAACCGCCAGGCCAGCTTCATGTTGTCCGGTTCCACTCCATCGCCGGTGGTGGCCACCACGAAGACCACGAGGCGCTCCTCGATCAGTTTGGACATCTCGTACTCCTCGAAGGACAGCACGGGTCCCTGGAAGCCCAGTTGATGCGACTCCCGCCAGATCTGTTCCGCCACATCCTGGGCAGTGCCGGTTTGACTGCCATAGAGCACCAGCAGCCGCATATTCTAGAATTTTTTAAAATAATTTTGAAGATAATTAATTCGTTTATTTAGTTAGACCGCATACGCAGTGACGCAATATGCCATTCCCAGGGATGGACTTTTAGCTAAGATAAATACATTTGGGGTACTCCACATATTGTTGGATTGCCAATAAACTTAAAAATTCAAGATGAAAACTAAAATATTACCTCATCTCCAATTTGTTTAACTTTAGACTCTAGGTGTTAACCAAACTGTTGAGTTACTGAACTGTTAAAATTCAATAGATAATTACAGCAACTGAGGGAATGACCATAAATGGATCCTGTTGTATTTTAAAACAGTTGCTATTTTTCAGTAAAAGTTAATGCCTAAAATTATTAATAAGTGGAGAAGAACTAAAAATATACTTATTAAATTGATTAAAAAAAATAGTGCTTACTGGTGATATTAAAATAATACATAGTTTACATGGCTTTTAAATGTTACCAGGGCACAGCCCAGGTTAATTTTTAAAAAATTGAGTTTGTTTGGATCAGCTGATAAACAACTAACCAAAATTCAACAGTTCCGCAATTCAACAGATTAGGGAATACCCCATTTATGTAAATTTTCTTTTTATCGATAACAGGTGGTCGTATTTACCCATCAAGGTCCATCGATATCAATAACCACACCGCCCACTACTATCCTATCAAAATCGCATGAAATAAAAAGTAAGTATTTTACTGGCAAATAATGCCCCCCAAAACGCAGCTCGATGTGCAGCTGAGCAAGAAGCTATCCTGGTTGCTGCGGCACGGTGCAAAGTCCGAGGGAATTCCAATCCGCGCCAATGGATTTGTTAGCGTCACCGATTTGCAGGAGCACCCGCGATACAAATCGTTCACCCTGGAGAAACTACAAGAGATTGCATCCGCCGACTCCAAGCAACGATACACTCTTCGCTGGAATCCCGAACTTCGCGACCACGAGATTCGCGCCAATCAAGGGCACTCTTTGGCGGTCGTGGAAAGCAAAGCTGGCGGTCTGGAGAGGATCTACCATATGGAACAGAATCCCTTGGCAGTGCATGGCACCTATTACCGGTACTGGGAGGCAATAAGGACCCAAGGACTAAGCAAGATGAAGCGCAACCATGTGCACTTTGCCAGCAGCGATAAGACAAATTGCGTCTTAAGTGGTTTTCGCAGCGATTGCCAGATTTTGATATATTTAAACGTGGAAAAGGTGCTGGCCGATGGCATACCCATCTACCGCTCCAGCAATAATGTACTGCTCTGCCCAGGAAGCAATGGCTTGATACCCAAATCGTATTTCTTAAAGGTGGTGGACAAACGAACGGGGCAGGCCCTAACTTACTAATCATTGTTGTAGATTCTACATTTGGAGAAAAACTCCCAGATCTATAATGTAGAATAAACCTAGCTGGTATCGAAAATAATTGAAACGTGTTTTTGCAGAAATGTCGGGCCCTGCCTCGGAAGTTGCTCCTCCGCCTGGCGATGGTGCCGACAATCTGGTGCTGTGCATGGTCTGCGCCGCGCCCTTCCGGAGTATGCAGGATTGCCTTGCCCACGAGCTGCTGAAACATGCTAGCAAGCCACAAAAGCAACTGCGCCAGCGACTTAACGCCATCACAAAGCTGTTCACCAGCGCACAAACCCAATCCGAGCGCAATGAGCTGCGGGAGGCTCTCGATAATTCGGAGCCCGGTGACCACTTGCACACGGTGTTGCATTTCTACGCTAGTGATCTGCGGAAGATGGAGCTTTGTTTCGGACACGTCCGCAACTGCATAGAAAAGGAAATGAGGGGCAAGGTTAGGGTGTTTCCCTTTGGTTCATTGGTCACTGGTTTGGCACTGAAGGGTAAGTGATTACCAAAAAGAGAAAGGCACCTAATCATCCTACTCTCCTTATAGAAAGCGACATAGATCTGTATATTCAGTCCAGCGGCGAGCAGCCTCCCATGCAGCTGTACAACAAGGTCTCTTACTTCCTTCGACGGTCCAAATGCTTTGCGGATATCTTCACCATTCGTCATGCCCGTGTGCCTATTATACGGTGCAAGCATCAGCTCACAGGGCTCAATATAGACATCAATGTGTCCAATCCGAATAGTACATATAACTCCCAGTTTGTCCGCGATCTAATGTTCCGCGATGAGCGACTTCGTGAGCTCAGTCTGTTTCTGAAGATTTGGGCTAAGAAGCTCAAGCTAATTGGACATGGTTGCATGTCAAGCTATTGTCTGATTACCCTGATCATCGTTAACTTGCAAGCGCATCAACTGCTGCCATCTATAAAGCATCTGCAGTCTCTCTGTCCACCTATTAATATAGGTGGCGTTAACTATGCCTACAGTTTGGACCTGACACCACCGATTCCAGCACGGATCACCACTTTGGGACTAATTAAAAATTTCTTCGCATACTACAGCACTGTAAACTTTGAGAAAAGTTTGTTGAGCCCGTTTTTGGGCAGCTGCTTAGACAAGGAGACCACACTGGGCAGGCCGGGTGGATTTCCCGAGTATGACGAGCAGCTGCGGCTCATGCATGAAGCAGTGGGAGAGCCACCGGAAGCTTTTCAACTCGAGCGGGTCATGTGCGTGCAGGATCCCTTCGAATTGCAGCACAACGTGGCCAAGTCATTCGCACCATCGAATCTATTTTACCTCAGACAATGTCTTGTCCTGGCAGCTCAAGGATGCAGTGATCCGGAACTTACTTCGCAACCGGCTAAGCTATATGACTACCTTTTATTTGGCTTGGCGGATAAGTTAGTATCTGAGCGACTAGTGGCGGATAAAAAAACGGAGAGGGCCACTCCGCGAAAGCAGCAAAAAGTGGAAATTATCCAAACGCAACCGCCCGTCGTTGAAACGGAGGACGCCAAGTTGGAAACCAACGCGGTGTATAATGCCCCGCCTATCGTGCGATCGCACGTGATCACCCCCACCACAAATGATCTCAAATGCTTGCGCTCCGGTGTCCTGAGCGGCCATAAAATGGAGGAAGTCCGAACCATATACTACTACTGGTTGGCCTGCTATGTGGATACCATTAAGGATGTGCTAACACAGCTCTATGCACTGAACATCGAACTAAAGGAATCGGAGGAGCCGTGCTACTTTAAGTGGCTCATCAGCATCTCATACGACACTTGGACAGGACGCTCCTTCCAGCGGGGCGCCGGTCAATCTTTCTTTGCCCACCAGTTGCAGCAGACGATAGAGTTTACTAAGACTAGGATGGGAAATCCGCAATATGCAGTAAATTTGCGAGGCTATTTCTCATTGCTGGCCAGTGAGGATTACAAGGAGCTGCGACTGGATGTGCAGCCACTACCTGGTGATCTCCTCGGACTGCAGCGCAATAGTCCGCTAACAAAGCTTTTCAAGGCGTTTAAGAATCTGCTGGGCAACTACAGCTTCAAGGAGAAGGCCAGCACCTGGGAGTTTTGCTCCAAATCAGACTAAACCTGACGACAGGCGTAATCTCATATGTACATACTTTAAGATTTCAATGCAAAATTGAAAATACGCTTCATTTACTCGACATTTTTGTTTAACACAGTTTTATTTGAACACTATAAGTTAAACAAATATATCAAATTATAAGTGTAACAATTAGTATTTTAGCTACTATCTTCTATGTATAAAGAGATGTCTAAACTAATTCTTGGCAAAAGTCTCTTGGAGCTGGGAGAGTAAATTATTTACAAGGGCAACAACTAAGCCTACAAGATGAATATACAAGGGTGTTTCTTAAACTTCTCAAGATTTTAAAATAATTGTTAAGGCATCAAATAGTTTTTGATGAAATATAATACTATTAAGAAGAAATTCCTTCTGAATACTTAAGTATCAGATATCTTAATTATTATTTTTAAAGCTACAGAAGTTTTACATGTACACCACATACTTTCAGGCAGATAGAGAGCAAGAGATTCCTATAATACAATATTATGATAATTGTACTGCTAGATTCTGATCTGAGTAACGGCACTTGGGCACTAGCCTTAGTTATAATCCTACTACATCTATCCCTTCTTTTTCCGGCAATAACAATACTTTTTCGCAGCGAAATCATTCATGCAATCAGCCTCTCCGCTATAGACATTCAATCGGCTCACGGATCCCGTCACCGTAACGGAGTCATCTGTGTGGTTGTGCCGCAAGGTGGCCTCGTATTGGCCCTTATTGGGCGACGTAACGAAGATCAGTCGATAGGTGTGCACCTCCTCGGGGTCCAGGGCATTATGATGCGCCCGGAATGCGGATTTGATGCTGTGAAGTGAGAGAGGAGCACACAGCTTGGCAACGGTTCCGTTTCGGAACTCGGCCACATAGTTGTTGAGGTAGCTGACCACACGCTTGCCCAGCATACGAGATTCCTTGGAGCTACTCGAGATCGTATCGTATTCCCAGCAGGTGCACCAGTGATCCTCGATGCCTACGTCGGAGCAACTCCTGACCGGAGAAACGGGACGCAGTAAACTCTGGCACTGGGGACAATCGGGTGCTGGTCCCAGCGACTCCATATCAGCACGACCGGATATGGATAGTATATGCTTCATGGTCAGATGGAGATCATAGGGCGTAGTCAACCGATTCCTGTTCACCTGGAGGCCACGCACGAACTCGGGATGTGAGCGACGCAGGTGATGGGGTAACCAGATGAAGATGGCCGGCAGACGCTCCTCCAAGTGACCCGACCAGGTGGCCCTCGTGGGTCCAAACCGCATGCCATGATCGCTGAAGAACACCACAACAGTGTTGTCCATGGTGCCCTGCCGCACCAATTTCCGCAGATACTCCGCCATATAGTCGTCCATGCTGCTCGTCTGCGAAATATCACTGTGACTGTGCGTGTTTGTCCAGAAGAAACCAAAGTACGTCTCGTTGAGGAATCTCCTGGTGAACTCCAATCCATAGTCGTAAACGTGCTCTGCCGCCGTTTCGTAACCCAGGCAATGGACCAGACCATTTGCTATAGTGTGATCCAGTTGCGATTCGGCGGCCGAGAGATATGGCCTCAAGTAATAATCCGCCGGCGGATTCTTGAAGCCCTTCTTCAGGTAGTTGAACGTGTTGATCTTCACAGCATCCTCTGCGTAGGCGGTCACATAGCCCCTCTGCTGGTACAGCTTCCAGATGAAGTTGCACTTGTCCAGGCCACCAACCTCGAAGGGGGAGCACGCGTGCATGGCATTGGGCAGATTGTAGCCGGTGGCCACAGCCATGATGTTCGGGAATGTGTTGTCGTCCACCTAAGAATAAAAAGGGTACATTGAGAATGGGTTTCGTCATAAGATCGCTATGTTGTTATTCAAGCAAAAATCTTTTTTAAATAATGAATAACCACATTATTTCACGGAAGCCTAAAAGTATTTTGATAAAATCCCTGTTAAAAAAAGATTTCCTGGTATAAAAACGATATCGTTTTTTCTAGAATAATGCAAAATTTAAAAAATTTTATTTTGACACTCACGCATTTAAAGTAAAATAAAATTCAAGTGTAAACAAAGAATATTTCTGCGTCATTAACCCAAAAAAAATTGTTTATACGATACCTCTTCTAGTATGTGAGCAATTAAGAAACTTCGTAAATACGAAATAATTCTATCTTATCACTTGCCGGTAAAATTGGTTAAAATTGTACTAAAAGTTCCAAGTGAATTTGGGAAAACGTAAAACTTTTCCTAATAACCTTACTCAGATATTAATTCTTTAAGATTTTAAAAGATATTAAAAAAATATTACAAAAATTTGAAAATTGTTCAAAGCTGAAAAATGATTTATTACTACAAATTACTGATTGTATTTACTATACATATATTTCGTTCCTCTGACACTCTCACTTTCCTTGTCTTATCTAAAGTGCTCTGACCTACCTTATTATACCCCGCCAGTTCGAACCAATCGTTGTCGTAGAGATACTGGGCCGTTTTGGGCATGGCCCTGATAAGATTTACACGGGAGATGCTATCGATGCCGAGCATTAGGACACTTGGGGGTCTCGAATTGGACTTATCTATTTCCTGTCTTTTCAAATCATCCTCCGAAGCCTTTTGCAGTCTCTGCTGCACTGCCTCCTTGACGGGAATGGTGGCATGGCCATTAATATAGATTTGGTGTCCACCGGAATCGCACTTGACAATGATGCCCTCCGCAGAATTGGGCAGTTCGGTGCTGCCCTTAAAGGACTGACACTTGGTGTACTTGACCTTCATCTCATCGACCCGCTGCACCTCCATGTAGCAACAGTGGAGCTGGCTGCCCACTCGGTAGCGACTAAAGGCGGCTCCATCGATGCTGAGGAGGTATTTCTGGGTCTTCTCCTGGAATTTGACCTGCGTCAGGGGCGGCAGCTTCTGACAGGCCTTGTACTTGACTCGCTTGAAGTGGCGCATCACCTCGTTCTTGTAGGGATCAACCTCCATGATCCGGCAGGAGTTGCTATACACCAAAAAGCCTTTCGGCATAAATTGAATACTCTCAGTATCTGTGTTAGGATCAACTGGGTAACCATCATAAACTAACACAGTAGGGGGAAAACACAGAAAGGGGAAAATAAAATCATAATAATGACGGACATGCAATACGAAACCAAATAGGGATCATGCTTCTAATGGACTTACCATCCATCAAAGTGGATTGATGCTGGACCGTCACATAGTTATCCGAGTGCAGGACGTCCAGATCGAGGACATTGGCCCACTCCGGTCTTCCGATCAGGAAGTAGCAAAACACGAAGGACACCAGCAGTCCGAGCACCGACTTCCTGCTCACCGGAAATGAACGGTGCTGGATGGCATGGAGAACGCCCCCCCTTCGGGTCATTTGTACTTCCAGCTCCTCCGCCTCTGAGGTGTCGGATCGCTCCAGCAGTAGGCGTTTCTCTGCCATGTCATTTAAGCTCTCGGCTATTCATGTTCACCAATTAAATAAATACTTAGTTAATCCGAATCAATCCAATTGATTTTAATGGAAGAACTGAAAATTTAATTTAAGCAAAATTAAAATAGACGCAAGTGACTCTGTTTTTATTAATCTATTCACTAGAAATGTAATAAACAGGTTGCTATGTCATAATAAAAATACATACAATATATAAACAAATATTCTTAGTCATCACAAAAATCTATATTTAGGCTTAAAATCAATTTATTAGACTGCTGTTCATTAAAACTTCGGAAATGGCTAGAGCTTACTAAACATATGGTTTTTAAAATGAATTGAGTAGTTCGAACTTTGACCACTTGCGAAATAAGCTAAGCTAATTAAGCCACTGAACTAATTGTAAAAAAATAATATATAAAATTACGTAAAACAAAAACAATAACAGAACTTTTTTCAATACAAATTGAATTTTTTATATATTATAATTTCATATTCTTTCAGTGCCGTCCCCAGATTTCAGTAATTAAATGATAGATTTTAATTGTTTTGAATGAGAACGACTTGACTTACCTATGGAATGTTTATTGCAGTGATTTTTTTATTTATTGCCTTTTTATTGTTTATTCCGCAACTGAAATTAAAGACAAGCAATAAATTGCTGACAAATTCAAAGTTTTTTTTGTGGCTCGAAACGTAATTTTCTACTTATTACAATGGTCAGTTTGTAGTGTCGAATTTTTTCTTTGTAAACAACGAATAAACTAAGTGTTTTGCTTGCAAAGCTTACGAAACCGAATATGATAACCCTGATGAGATTATAATTGGCCAATTCCGGAACTCTGCATTTCAGAGATAATTTACTAATTTATTATTTGCATAGTATTCTCCGGATGTTTTGACACAGCTTTTGTTTTGCACTTTAATATATTTTATAAATAGTTTGGGTTCATTAGATTTTCGTTTTAAATGCTTTTATTTTTAGATTTTAAGTACTCGCGTGAGAACTGAAGGTTTGTAGATTTACATAATAAAATAAAATATTTGGTTTTCTCTGATTTTATTTGTTTACGTATTAAGAAATACTGTTTAGCCTTTTTGTTTTGTACACTTTCATCAGAGTTTATTTTCTTTTTAGCAATTTATTTGCACGTGGTTTTCCGGGTCAACAATAGTTTGTTCATTGCACTAGCACTTTGTTTTCCTATTTAAAGCCATCAAACATATTTAAAGAGCACTGTTCTTGCATTATTGGTCCGATGTTTGTGTCACTGCCAATAGTGTTTCCCAGCCAAAGGGAATATAAATAACATTTTATTTGGCCAACCTTGGCTGGGTCCAATGAAGGGGTCGCCAGGGGCGGTCTGCGAATTTAATTAATGGAAATGCAGCGTCTGCTAAAACTACATCGTTCTGCTAAGCTTTTTTCGCCAGCGGTCCGAGCACTGTGACGGTAGAATCGCGAATGAGACGGAACCCAAGCACAGAAATAGGTATGGTAATGGTATGGTATAAGGAGGGGGGGGATGGGGGCCTGGGAATCTGAATGGGGAAGTAGAGCTGCTGATGCCTCATGATGGATCCGCGCTTCGCCGGCATTATTTCATCGATCACGACTCTATTCGACGGTCATTAGTTTACACTTTTTGCCGTTTCATGTAACAAACATTGATTAGATATTTGGTTGTGTTAATCCATGACACGTTTCTATCTAAATATAATTATATACATGATGATTTTTGTACCCACTACTGGAGGAGCAGGGGTATGCTAGTTATATGGAAAAAAGGTTAAGATATCTCGGCAAGGAAAAATAAAATTTTTATTTTTTTAACAATTTTTACTATAATCATATACACATGGCCTCATAATGAAATATAACAGAGTCCACAAAATAATATGCCTAACATGATAATGAATTGGTTTTGTATATAACATGTTCTAAGTGCGTCTGAGATATGCGGGAATGTGAATAGTTCCAGCTTGGCCCCTATTTCAAAACGAGATAAAGACCAAAACAATAATTCATAAACAGGAAGGGAGATAAATGAGTTAAGTTACAAAAAAAATATTTCTCATTTAAAATATTTGCATTTGGATTGCGTTTTCGACTTGTGTCGGCGAGATATTAAATTTCAATTATACTCCGGCTTTCAACTTTTATGAAAGAGGCGTCGTTGCATTTAGCAGTTTTTATCTAATTGAATTTGTAGTTCGGATTGAATGGTTTAACAGGGTTTAAACAAATTAGCGAGGGACCGGCAAAGTCCAGCAATAAAAAGTGACAACACTTTGGCAAGACTTTTCATGAATAGCCGTGCATCTAGATAATGCATTGAATTTTAATGGCAAATGCACTTGGGGAACCATTAAAAAGGCAATGGGTACTATATAATAGATATAATAATGGAAATATGGTTTTGGGGTGAAGGGCGAATGACGTGTTGGGGGATCCGCTGCAGGACCTCAAGTGAATGTGTGAGTGTGTCGAGGGCACTCTGCGGTGGTAAAAATAACACACACACGTGTGTATATATTTCTATATAGTATATATATATATATATCTCAAAGAGCTTAGGCATCGTTGGGGGTATAGTATGTCAAGTTCCATTGAAGCGAACTGCTTCTGTTGCAGCGTCAGCGTAAAATTGCAATTGTACAGATACAAATGCAAAACACCAGATACACAGATACGAAAAGGACGCACACGGATACACACACACAAGCTCGGGGAAAATTGCGAGACTTTCCGAACAGCCTGGAAATTTGTCAACACCCTGCGTATGTTTGCCAGGATTCATCCAGTATTTGGGCCACTCCACTCGCGTATTCGCACACTCACTTGGACTACTCGCCACATGGACATATCCCTATTGATTGCAGCAAATATACAAATATTTGTGCTGCGATTTGCAATGGCTCCTCCGAAAAGGACGATGCGCGATTACGACCCAAGTCCTTGCTGGCGGCACGGATAATACGATGCGACTGAGCGGAAGTTCGACTGCCAACGAGCGGAGACCCCCGACGAATGACGACGAGCCACTGCCGATGTGAGATTTTTTACACCCTCATCAACAGCACCAACATCAAGTTTATCACTGAAAAAAACCCGAGGTTTCACAGACCAAAACAATTGAGAAAAAATTAATTATAATTTAAACCTTAAAAATTTGGTACCTCTTTTTTAAAATTAAACCTTAAGCTGAATAAGTATGTTAAATAAATGTGTATTTTCAAAAAGATCTTAGGATTATTTGGATGTATAAGATATGTTCCACATATCTTTCATTTGGCAAACAACATAGTTTTCAAAGCGGAAGCGAGTAGAGATTTCCATACCCTAAACTAGACAACTTTTGACTAATTAAATATATTTCAAAGGAACGATACATTTATCAACTATTGATTTCAATTAAAAATAATACCTAGACTTCGTGATAACAAAAATAATTTTTTTAAATTCAAGAACTTGCTCCAAATATTTACTAAAAGATACTAACAAAGCCATTCAAATTAGTTACCAAGGGCTTCGACATTTATTTAAAAAAAAATGCAAAGACAATGATGATATAAATAAAACAAAATAATTTTTTACTTGTCATTTTAACGCAAACACGTTTCTAGATAAGCGATTATAATAACCGGCTTTTATTTTAAGAGAATGCTTTTGATGTCAAAAAATTGCAGGAATCGTTAGCAATGGAAATAATTTTGTTTGGACGTTTTTTTTCTATTGTATACATTTAAAATTTTTTTCTGAAGCCAAGAAATCAATTCAATCGAAAAGTCTAAGAAATGTATGTATTTTAATATGCACAATTAATTTGTGTTACTTGAATAGTATTTGTGTGTCTTAAGATACACACACCCGATAAGAAATGTAAAGTAAAATATCGATCTATTTTTGAGTGATGTCATGCCTGGATTGTAAAGGTTTGTCCCTTTTAAAGATGAATATTTAATTTTACAATAATAAATTGGTTCTATATATAACAAGCATAGGACTGGTTTTTCTGAGTGCATCCACAACGGCTACACGCGGTGCGTTGCACATTCGCAAGTGACGCCTGAAAGTATGCAATGTTTATTTGCCAATTGCCCGATGCACAGTGAGACACTCACTGAGTTTGCGCAGTTTTGAGTTACTTTTGGCACGTGCTGCGTCGGTATTTTGCACGCTCTTCCTTTTATTTTCCTTCGCCCGGCCCCTCCCCCTTTCTCACCACCCACTTGTTGGTTGTGGGCGACAAATTTGGGGGCGGTCAGTGGGCGGAATTTTCGCCAAGTGTCTCTGTTTAGCCGCAGGCAAGGTCGCCAAACTTAAAGCAGCAACAAAATATCAAAAGTAAACAAAGCCAAGGAAGTAACCACTGTAAAAACAGATAAGATCAGAGATTATACACACATATATGCATTTCTATATAAGACATTTCTTCACTCTTCTGTTTTCTTAACTTTTCATATTTTTGTTACCATTTTTATTAAGTAATATGGATAGGGATTTTCATCACACTGCACAGCACAAATAAATAATATAGGTTGTTTAAACTCTAAAATATATATTTAAAACTCTCGGAAATGTTATAATGACTGAATAAGAACAACACACAACGAAAACATGATATACGACTGAATTATTAATCAGCTGACAAGCAGGTGGACCCTAAACGATAGAATAATATTTATAATACAAATGGCTCATCACTATGGATTTAGATTTTTAAATAAGCATTTTTGGGATTTATGATTTTGGCCGCAATATCTTGTTAGAAATGTGTATTTTTTAGCAAACCAGCTATATATAATACGACTTGTGGTAAAACAAACATATATTCTTAAAAATGGTTTTCAGAATGGGAACCCAAAACTGCACTTCCAGATTTCATAATGAGAGTTATTGGATCCCGATTTGGACGTGGGATACCTCTATGATTTGGTATTTGAATTCTCTAATAATCTACAATCAAATTTTTCTCTTTAACGGGGGTCCAAATTTAAACCCATTTTCATGTTCGATTTTTCCGTAGTTCCAAAGGTTTTCAGAATGGGTACCTAAAACTGCACTTCTAGATTCCATAACTTGAGTTATTGGATCCCGATTTGGACGTGGGATACCTCTATGAATTGGTATTTAAAGTCTCTAATAATCTACATTCAAATTTTTCTCTTTAACCGGGGTCCAAATTTTAACCCATTTTCATGTTAGATTTTTCCGTGATTCCAAAGGTTTTCAGAATGGGTACCAAAAACTGCACTTCTAGATTCCATATCTAGAGTTATTGGATCCCGATTTGGACGTGGGATACCTCTATAAATTGGTATTTGAATTCTCTAATAATCTGCATTCAAATTTTTCTCTTTAACGGGGGTCCAAATTATAACCCATTTTCATGTTAGATTTTTCCATAATTCTAAAGGTTTCCAGAATGGGTACCCAAAACTGCACTTCTAGGTTCCATAACTAGAGTTATTGGATCCCGATTTGGACGTGGGATACCTCTATGAATTGGTATTTGAATTCTGTAATAATCTACATTCAAATTTTTCTCTTTAACGAAGGTCCAAATTTTAACCCATTTTCATGTTAGATTTTTCCGTAATTCCAAAGGTTTTCAGAATGGGTACCCAAAACTGCACTTCTAGATTCCATAACTAGAGTTATTGGATCCCGATTTGGACGTGGGATACCTCTATGAATTGGTATTTGAATTCTCTAATAATCTACATTCAAATTTTTCTCTTTAACGGGGGTCCAAATTTTAACCCATTTTCATGTTAGATTTTTCCGTGATTCCAAAGGTTTTCAGAATGGGTACCCAAAACTGCACTTCTAGAATGCATGACTTGAGTTATTGGATCCCGATTTGGACGTGGGATACCTCTATGAATTGGTATTTGAATTCTCTAATAATCTATATTCAAATTTTTCTCTTTAACGGGGGTCCAAATTTTAACCCATTTTCATGTTAGATTTTTCCGTAGTTCCAAAGGTTTTCAGAATGGGTACCCAAAACTGCACTTCTAGATTCCATAACTTGAGTTCTTGGATCCCGATTTGGACGTGGGATACCTGTATGAATTGGTATTTGAATTCTCTAATAATCTGCATTCAAATTTTTCTCTTTAACGGGGGTCCAAATTTTAACCCATTTTCATGTTAGATTTTTCCATAATTCTAAAGGCCTAGGGTTCGACCAATTAAAAAAAAGTTTCTTAGACGCGGACAAAATAGCGGAGGTGTAAGGTGGTATTAATATAAAATAAGGAGTTAAGTAGAGTTACTCTGCAAACGTTTTATTTCCTTTTCCCAGAGATATAATTGAAACACTTCAACCACTATCAACAAACCACAAATTAAACGGCTTATCTTAACAATTTTCAAAACAAATTTAAATTACTAAGTGTCATATGTTATCTTTGATAATTGCAATCGTTTAAGATAACGAAAGTTAGCTGGAGTCTTGTTTAATTAATATTTACAAGTATCATAAACAACTAAATCTAAATAATAATCTCTTTGAATAAGAGTGGCACTTGCACTTCGCTTCTACCAGTATATGCACATCCGTAGGACATTGTAAATATTTAAACCTAATCAATTTTTGATAGTGGAGTGTTTTTGAATGGAGAGATAGCTGTCGAAAGAAGTTGTAAATTTTCAAAAGTAATTGTTCGTGCTCTATCTTATATTCTATTTATATATCCCTACCTGTATCTCACTGTTAGATATTACAAACATTTATTAAATAGGTAATTCTTAAATAAATTATAAATAAACAAATAATTGGGTTGTCGTATCTTGAAAGATATGAACTATTGTAATGTAATTTAAGAAGAATTTTATATGCAATTGTCTTTGCTATCTTCTGGACTTCCATTGAATACTCCATTCATGAATTTTTCCTGTTTAGTCTATCGTTTTATTCGATCTTGGCCCATATATGTGCAATATACTTTATCAGCCAAGTGCCGGTACGGGGATTATATATGACCCTTTGCCTTGGTCAGCTCGACAAAGGCGATTTTTGTATAAATACTCGTCCAAATAGCATTAGTCCACAAGTTGTTCCAGCAACATGAAAGTATTCGTAGCTATCCTGGCTTTGGCCGTGGCATCGGCCTCCGGCGCCACCATGCCCGACTTCGCCACCCCGAAGGCAACAGCGGTCCACACCAAGGACATGCAGGGTCGGATCACCAACGGCTATCCGGCGGAGGAGGGCAAGGCTCCCTACACCGTGGGTCTGGGATTCAGCGGAGGCTGGTGGTGCGGTGGTTCCATCATCTCCAACGAGTGGGTCCTCACCGCGGCCCACTGCATCGGAGGAGACGCCGTGACTGTCTACTTCGGAGCCACCTGGCGCACCAATGCCCAGTACACCCACTGGGTTGGCAGCGGAAACTTCATCGCCCATGGATCCGCTGACATCGCTCTGATTCGCATCCCCCACGTGGACTTTTGGCACATGGTGAACAAGGTGGAGCTGCCCAGCTACAACGACCGGTACAACGACTACAACGAGTGGTGGGCCGTGGCCTGCGGATGGGGAGGCACCTACGATGGCAGCCCCCTGCCCGACTACATGCAGTGTGTGGACCTGCAGATCATGCACAACTCGGAGTGTGTCCAGTACTACGGAAGCGGTACCGTGGGCGACAACATCATCTGCGTGAGGACTCCCGACGGCAAGTCCACCTGCGGTGGTGATTCCGGTGGCCCTCTGGTCACCCATGACGGCACCAAGCTCGTGGGAGTCACCAACTTTGGATCCACCGCCGGTTGCCAGTCGGGTGCTCCTGCTGGATTCCAGCGCGTCACCTACCATCTGGACTGGATCCGCGATCACACTGGCATTGCTTACTAAACCAAATAAATAAATAACGATCATTTGAAAAGCTATTTCTGGAAATATTTTATTGCGTTACTAGTTAAGTTGAACTCTGAATATCTAAAAACTGAAATGTTATTTTAGAAGAAATGTTTTTATTTGGAAGTTCAACCTTAAACGATAATAAAACCTGCTATTTTTTTCTTCATCAATAAAACAGAGACACAATTAAAAATGTAAAAAAGCAAAGATACAATGTTTTCAATTTTATAATTTGTCTTCTCACTCTTTCAAGGAAAACGTTCTTGAAATCAAGACGAAAGAATTCACTTATTCGAGAAGAGACGTTCTTGAAATTAAGAAGACAGTTCTCTCGAGATTGTTTTTTAAGAGGAAACGACCTGGAATTAGAGATAGAGTTATAATCGATTTTATTTTTCAAGACGAAAGTAGTCTCGAAAACGGAAAACACTTCATCTTAATTTTAAGAACTCTTTGAAACTGTCGTGGGTCACTTTTGAAATCAAGCCAATGCTCTTGAGGTTGGTTTTGTTACTGAGTATGATTTAGCATAGTTTAACTAATAGAGAAGCCAACCATATTTTTATAAATATTTCTTGTACCTTTTGTAATGGCTGAACTAAAAAGTCGTATTTAAAAATTATGCTTTAAATAATTTTATTCAATCGGTTTTGAAAGTTTAGTAGTAAGCAATTCCGGTGTGGTCGCGGATCCAGTCGAGGTGGTAGGTCACGCGCTGGAAGCCAGCGGGATGACCAGCCTGGCAGCCGGCACCCGACACCCAGTTGGTGACTCCCACGAGCTTAGTGCCGTCGTGGGTGACCAGTGGGCCACCGGAGTCTCCGCCGCAGGTGCCCTTGCCGTCGACCACGCGGACGCAGACGATGTTGTCGCCCACGGTACCGCTTCCGTAGTACTGGACGCACTCCGAGTTGTGGATGATCTGGAGGTCCACACACTGCATGTAGTCGGGCAGGGGGCTGCCATCATAGGTGCCTCCCCATCCGCAGGCCACGGCCCACCACTCGTTGTAGTCGTTGTAGCGATCGTTGTAGCTGGGGAGCTCCACCTTGTTGACCATGTGCCAGAAGTCCACATGGGGGATGCGGATCAGAGCGATGTCAGCGGAATCGTGCGAGATGAAGTTTCCGCTTCCAACCCAGTGGGTGTACTGGGCGTTGGTGCGCCAGGTGGCTCCGAAGTAGACGGTCACGGAATCACCACCGATGCAATGGGCAGCAGTGAGGACCCACTCGTTGGAGATGATGGAGCCACCGCACCACCAGCCTCCGCTGAATCCCAGACCCACGGTGTAGGGAGCCTTGCCCTCCTCCGCCGGATAGCCGTTGGTGATGCGACCCTCCACACGGGGCACCTTGGGGATATCCTTGGGGCGGACGACGGTCTCGAAGGCCGAGGCGGAGGCCACGGCCAAAGCCAGAACAGTTAGGAACACCTTCATGTTGCAGATACAACTTGTTCTGGGGGACTTTCAGCGCGGCTTTTATACCTCCAGCAATCGAAGAACTTTGTTTGCGATAAGTCACAGAGATTACCAATAAAGAGCTGTCCTAAATCAAAGCTCAATTATCGCGGGTCCCACTTCCGCTTGATTTTACTAAAGTCATGGGCATTAATTATCTGTCAACTGATTATAAAGTATTATAAAAATTAAAAGGTTGGGGGTAAAAATAGCATACATTTTTTGTACTTTTATAATTTTGTTAAACTGAACTTTAGTGAAAATAGACAAATAGGACTTTCT